GTTGTGAGCTGCACTATGGAGAGGCCCAAATGGCAAGAAACTGAAGGTGGCCTCCTGCCAACAGTCAGCAACTGAGGCCCGAAGTCCAACAACCAGTGAGTAACTGAATCCTGCCCACAGTCTTGTGAGTGAGTTTGGTATAAGTCCCCCAACTCCCTTCCTCATGGGGCCTGCTAAGGAGACTGCAGGTCCAGCAGACCCCCAGACTGTAACCTCGAAAGAGACTGTCAGGAAGCCATCTAAGCTGCTCCCGATTCCTGACTCACAGAAACTGTGAGATAATAAATGTGTTTTTCTCTTAAGTTGCTAAATTTGGGGTAATCTGTTACGCAGCAAGAGATAATGAAGAGAGCATCTAAGTTTGAGATTATTTTAATGGCCCCTACCAACTCCACCACTTTTCATGAGGCCTGCAGAGTAAACTATGAAAGGTTCACTATCAGGAACTCTCAGAAGGAACCTCTGTGCCCCAGAATGCAGACACTTTTTAGTTTGGTGACATATACGCAGGCATGCTCTGGCCACCCAGAGATGACCATGGAAATGTCAGTGCAGCTCAAAGTCAACATGACACTTCCCACTACAGTACATTGATCGGAATGAACATGCCAGATGAGAGACTCCTTACCTGCCCAGCTATATACTGCTATCAACTAAATCTACCCTTAGAAACTGTCCCACCCTTGTGAACCAAACTCTGGCCAGAGGCCCCACGTACCAACTCCTTAGGCTTATATCTTAAGACTACAAGGCTCACTGAGAAGGTCTGAGATCAAATCTCCTCCTGGAAACCTTTTCCAATGTTCCTAACTCTTTCTACTCTCCAACCTTTCATCTAAGCTCCATGAAATCTGAGGCTATAAATTACTTATCTTTATTTCCCAAGTGCCTAACGTGAGGCCTAAGCATATGTGGTGATTAATGAATGAGCATTGTAAACAATATTTTTCTAAGGTATATTTAATTTTCATGTATATGTCTTTCTAACTAGACTGTACGCTTCTCAAGGTCAGGGACTATGCCTAATTCACCATGGTGTCCTAAAGATCTTGAAGTTCACTGACTTCCAGACAAACCCTGATCCTGAGATCAGGGCAGAGACCAAAAACACTTGCAGTGAACCAGGGCTGGATACTTGGCAGCAATCCGCAAAGGACTCAGAGGCTCCCCATCCATTCAGCCTAAGACTCCTTCTACTACACAGTATTCCAATGAGGGGAAACCTAAGAATTCCTCTGACTTCCCAGGGCCCTCCCCAAGATCAGGGTAACTCCACTGTGCTCAGGTCAGGAAATAGAAGAAAGTTGAACTAGGAGGTAGAAAGAAAGAGAGGGAAAGAAAGAGATACCTCTTCTTTTTACTTTCATGGACAGCAAACACCTCATACAAGACATCCCCAGGTTACAGAAGAACAAACGGCCACAGGAGGTTGGATGGGTCCCTACTCAGATCCAGCAAGTCCTTTTGTAATTTTTGAAGCAATAACATAGAGGCAGCAAAAGCTGACTAAGCAGATGGTCACACATGCCCAAAAACCACCTGACCAAGTAATCATAGGAAGCCAATACATTCACCTGTGAAAGTCAAGTGGAAGTGACCGATGCTTTGCTTCCGGCACAGACTAATAACCGATTCTTCTGAGAACCAAAGAGGAAATATTAAAACTGAAAGCCCTTGGCTACCGTCAACAATTGTACACTAGTATCAACAGAGGGAAATAATTTCCTTCCTGACTCCCGCTGGGCCAGTCATGCCGGGAGCAAAAGGTACGATTAGCTAATCAAACAAAGCAAGAGCCAACTGGGCTAGACTGTAGCTGCAAGGGGATTTCTCAAGCATTGACACTTCGTCTCCAGTCTACCTCTCTCCACCTCCTACTGTCGAGAGCAGCGATTTCCAACCTGTGTGCGGCAGCATACTGGTGAGCTGCAAGAACTTTTACAACATGCAATATCTGACTATTTAGTCAGGAGCACTGACCTCTTTTCCCTTAGCGTGTCAAATAAAAAAGTAACAATAGCCAACACAAAAGTAACCGTGCCATGTGAATGAATCAAAACTGTACCTTTTTTTGTCAGGTAGGCAAAAAATATATTTTTTGGTGTGCCGCAGAATTTAGTAATTAGTTTATGTGCGCCATTAGATAAAAAAAGGTTGAAAATCTCAGGTCTAGAGCAAAAACAAATGTGAAAAGTAATAATAATACATTGTTTCATGTCAACGTCCATCACTGTCCCTAAGCAAGATTCCAGTTCTAGCTCCTTTCCAAGACTGAGAACAAATCACTCCCCATCCAATCCTGGGGATGACAGGGGTGCAGAGTTAGGAAAAATCACATACACTGGGCTTGATGCCCTAGGCAGGGTGCTGAGGACTGCACATGAGATCCTATTGTTCTCTATATTCAGGATGAGTCTTTAAAGAATGAAACAACTGTAATAACCTATGATGTATGGGTCACACTTTACAGTTTGCAAAATGGGCTGTCCTCTACCCATTTGCTCTAAACAAACATGAGAGGTAGGCAGGGCAATGACTGAGGAAATGAAGGCAGAGGGATCTGGTACTTTTAGGATTGTACATCCATTATAATAACTATAAAAACTTCTGATACCAATTCCACCATACTCGCTGCCTTTTTATGAACTCACAAACTTCATAAGCCATACTGGTCCCAAAAGCCTCTTTCTGCCCAGTCATTTCTTCACTCACCTGTGCTAGAATTCCTAAAATGCTCCAACAGAGAACTGGCCCATGCCTGAAGAACACCCTCAGGGAAAGGGACATGCACTACCTTTGGATCTTTCCTTTCTCTTCATGAAAATGGACTGCGCACCTATCATGTGCCAGAGATTCTCCTAGACTCAGGGGAAACAAGCATGAACATGCAATGCTGTCCCTCTTCCGGCCAGGTTTTCTCATCTTAAAGGCCATCAACACATGTGCCCTGCATCCTCTCTCCTCTAGGATCTCATCCTTGTAACGGTTCCTGGTAGGACATCATTTCCGATCCTCTCGGCATCCTTGTGTGAAGGGTCCGGTTGGCTCAAGACTGCTTCAGAGGATGAGATGAGGACTAACATCTGATACTTAGGGGAGCTCTGACAGGACAGTTCAAAGGTTTAGGGCCACCCACATAGCTTTAGTTCTCTCTTCTTCCTAACAGCACCCAGATATTCTTTTGCAGGATCACCACTTCTCCGCTGTGTAGATGCCATGAAGTCGGAGTAGGAAGGTTTCAAAATTCAGAGCAGAGCCCCAGTTCACACATGCCAGTTGTCAGTGTCTTCTGTGTGGCCTCAGTGACTGGTACAGAAGTACACAGTTACCCGAGTCTATGAGAAAATGGCAAAAGGGACTCCTTCCCACAATGGCAAGGAGGTGACCTACAGCCCAGGTGGCAGCAAACAGCCATCTCATGACCACAAAGTGAAACACCCCAACAATGAAGCCAACACAGAGAACAGGGCAGAGCAAGGAGCCCAGAAGAGACAGGGCCAAGCCGTGCTCACACTGGGCCTGGTGCCCACACTACCTCTGACCGGCCGGTTTCCAGTGGATCCCCTACCCACTTTGTTGTCAGTAACATCTCTATTTAATGTGCCTGAGGCCACTTAAGTGTTTTAGTAGACAAAATCCACTGTTAGCTCACAGTTAGCTTACAGAAAATAAAAAGTCCCACGTCTCTCCCAGCTCACTCTTGTCTAGGTATTCTCTTTCATTCTGTCACTACACACTAGACTTTTTTTTTTTAATCTAAATGTAAACCTTTGTATTCATCACAATTTAATTTCAAATGCTGAAAAAAATTCAGGAGGTAGAACAGGTAACAAAGATGCACAATCGATGCTTAAAGTGCATGCCTGGGGCAATGCTTTCAAGACCACATTTGAAATTTTAACAGGCTAAACTGTTTAAAAGTCAAAACAGTTGTCTCTAGCCTTCTATCTTACACAGATCCGTAGGTACAAAGCAAAGTCTGATGTCCTTCTAAGATGCATTGATGAAGGAAAAAAAAGGGCAACAAAAGGTAATTATAAACTGAGCCACACTTTTCAGTGAAGTTACGTTTTATCACTCACAACAGCATCTGCTTTGTATTGGAAATCTGCATCATAAACAGAGCAATACCTATATTTTATTCAATATAAAGCCAGTGCTTGGGGCACGTACAGACTGGCTCTGAGGATGGAGACTACAGATCCAAAACTGTAAATAGAAGCCTTTCCCAGAATCCTCCAGCCATGTGCCTCAAGTCTCCTCACAGCCTGCGGTAGCCCACACCATTGATGCTTTTTATGACCCTTCTTTTCTAGAACACGATGTTCTGTTCTACCCTCTAAAGACAGAAGAATTCTGAAACACAAGGGGAAACTTATCTTACCTGATTACCATTCCCCTTTCTGAATGTGCAAGAGTTCAAATCCAGATCCCAATGAAGCTCTGGTGAGCCCTTTAAGACACAGGTTCAACCCTTTGCCTAAGCACAGTTAGCCTCCCCTACCTCAAAGGATTGTTGTGAAAATAAAATAAAATCACAGAAGAAGCATCTTATACAGGGGTAAATAAAAGCCACTCAAAAATATTACTTTCTTTCCTCACAAATGTCCCTAGGACTGTTCACTGACATTTTCATTTTGGTCTTCAATTTCAAGAACCGTTCCCTCCATGTCAAAGGAGAAAGGAGGAAGGAATGCAATTATTGGCAACCGGAAATCATCATTACCCCAAATTTTCTTCCAATCTCTCCTCAAGCCAGCTTCCAAGAGCTGAGTCCTGCCTTTTCTTTGCCACACATTTTATTAGCATTATTATTTTTCACCCACTGCCAATGAACTTAAGAAAAAAGAAAGAACATTTTGGTCCTTCTCTAGTTCTTAGTGCATGCTCGTTATTAATGCCATACTTTCCTTCATTGAAAACCATTGATTTTTAAAACTCATTAAAACATGAATGTTGACTATAAAAAAAAGATGTTTTCTTATCTGCATAGGACTCACCAATTGAGGAAAAAATATCTTCCCTCCAACGAGTGCCCAGAAGCACAGTGAAAAAAAGCCCTAAACCAAGAATCAGGGGAGTGGGTTCCGTCCTCGGTTCTGTTTCTGAGCCTCAATGGTCCAACCTGTGTGTGAGAAATGGGAGAAGGAGCTGTTCGTGAATCTCTAGGATCTCACGAGCTTCAGGACTTCCCAGGTTTATGAACTCGCTGACTAGACCATACTGAGAATGATGCCAGGCTCAAAGCGCACAGATCTTGCAGCACACCTCGGTTCCTCCCAAGCCTCCAGTCAGCTTCTGACACATTTATTTCACTAATTTGCCTCCGACTGGTGAGGAAAGAGAATGCCAGGGCCCTTGTTCATCCTCGGCTTTCCAGGGAAAACAGCTTCACAGTAATATCAGAGATGAAAGAGGCAGATCAATTAGTTAGATATGTTTTAGACAAGAAAAAAATTAACAGCAAAATCTAAACTACAACTAATTAAAAGAAACAAGGAATGTGAATTTAAAGACAAATTTCTAACTATGGAACCTAGCAAGCCCTCTGAACCTTAATTCCCTTGCCTGAAAAGTAAGAGTCAATGAGCAGCAGAGAGTAAGACACTCTTGACACTTCCTAGTAAGTCCTCATTATGTGTTTCCTTTAATTAAGAGCTATTACTATTTTATTAAAGATGAAGCAATATACATTCCAGCATACACAGATGCCAAAGCATTTGGTTGTTTTACACGTGGCTTTTTTAATATTCAGGAGAAACATACGAGAAAAACTACTACTCCTATGTTCATTGTTCTCATTTTAAATATTATTAAATCAATCATGCAATTGTTTCACATATATTTTTCCATTCAGTCTTCAAATGTCCGTACAAGAACAAAGTTGGGAGGGACCTTAAAAAATGACCCACCTCAACTCTTCCAATTGGCAGGCGGAGAAGCTGGGGCCAGAGCGGGAGGCGGCCGCTCCAGGAGCCCACAGCCGTGAGTGGCAGGCAGCACAGGGCTGCAGGCCAGAGCTTGCTCCACTGCATCCAGTTATGGCCACTTTGATGGAGCGTGAGGGTTCTCAATGGGCAGAAGGACTTTCCCTTGGTTACACAATGGGCTTTGGAGCAAAATACCAAGTTCCACACCCACGTCTCTGAACACTTGCTTCAAAGCTCTCAGCGTACAGCCGGGCAGCAGAAAGAAATTAAATTAGAAAAATGGAGCATAATCAAAATGAACACAGCAAAGCAATGAGTTTCCTGAGAGCTAGTGGTTTTCAAGGACATTAAAATTCTCAAAGCTGCCCTGGCCGGTGTGGCTCACTTGGTTGGGCATCATCCAACTAGCAAGTCAAAAATGTCACTAGTTCGATTCCTGGTCAGGACACAAGCCTGGGTTACATGCCAGGTCCCAGGTTGGGGGCGCGTGGGCAACGCAACAGATCGATGTTTCTCCCTCATGTTGATATCTCTCTCCTTCTCTTTCTCCCACCTTTCCCCCTTTCTAAAAATAAATAAACAAAATCTTTAAAAAAAGAATTCTCAAAGCCATTCCACTATAATGAGAGAAAGGCATAATTTCAAACTTGCTGAGGAATAACACATTAGCAGCATTGGACCTGTGGACAGTGCAATCACACAGAAAACAAAAGACACCCCCCACCCTCAAGGCCCGAGAAACCAGAGCTGCTCCTTGCAGAGGGAGATACAAACCAGAACAGTTTCTACATCAGCCACCAGGGAAGTGTGACTTCCTTCCCCCATTCGCTGAAAGGCAAGCTCTCCACCGTGGCCCTAGGGCAGTGGCTCACACTTGCCAGCTTCTCTCCGGGCACCTATGAGAGTGGCCTCCCTGTTCCATAGTCAGCTCCTCTTTTAATATTTTTTTTCTTCTTTTCCATAAAGAGAACAAGCAGCTTTGCTAAAGAACCGCTGTGAAATGATTGAAGTTCCCATGCAAACAAACCATTAGCATAGTTCAAATGCAATTTAAATTACCAGTTGTTAAAGTGCTCCTCAATTTCTCAGTAAGTTTCCAAGGAGAATTACATGCTATATACTATTTAATTGGTTGTTTTCTATTTTTTAACATCCATTTATCCCCCCTACCACTCTTATATTTCAGAAGTGTCTATAAAAGCTTCCCTTTAAAAAATTATACATTGTTGAATAGATTAAATCTAAAGATTGAAAAGTATCAGAGAAACAGCTGCATAATTATGCACCTCAGCAACACTGATGGTTTTGACACCATAAAACATGCAAAATTTTTAAATCTTAGGAGTCATCTCACAGCGCTGTCATTTTTCACAGATGAAGACACTGAGATCCCGATGGGGAACAGAAGGGTCGACTCCAAGTCCTCTCACTGGTCAGTGGCAGAATCACGAACTCCCAGCCCTGTGCCTCCTCTTCCCACCACCACATGGTTGGAGCAGCTGATGGGAAATACTCAATGAATTTTCCACCCATAATTTTTTAAAAGAAAATACGAAGTCTTCTGCAAACACACTCCTGATCTCAAAAGCGGAGATGGGCAAAGGCAAGTGTCTTCCCAAAAGGAGAAAAAGGAAGTAAAGGCTGATGAATGAGCACAGTCAAAGAAGTTTGAAATGAGCAGATTCTTGGCAAGAGAAGTCAAGACACTCATCTAGATTCATTAATCAAGCTATGAGGCATCGGGGCCGCTGAGTTCCACTGCATTATCTAGCCTGGAATGAGGGCCTGCCTCCAGAAGGAGAGGATGAAGGACCAACAAAGTAAAGGCAGGTCTTGTCACATCTTAAATAGAAAGGACCATTGTGGGTACAGGACGAAGTTCATGGCTTGATATTGGACTTGTGTAAGTTACTCGCCCTCTCTGAGCTCAAGCTTCCCTGTCTGCAAGATGGGGCCAATACCTCCTACCCATCAGGGAGGACATAATCATGCCCTGGAATTCCACATCCAGTGTGCGCAGCATAGAGCCAGCGAGAAGGCTGCATTGATTAAGGTTCACCCCTTGACTGCCAAGGTTTCTGTAATGTCTCAAAGCTAATTATAGGGACTATAACCGAGTCTTTCAAGCCATGAATGTTCCCTAAGTCTGTTAGATGCTATATGTCCTCTAACTCTAAATTCATTTATTTTGTCATTCAAGAAAATAAAATAAAGCATGTGTATGAAAACTTAAAAACATTCAAGCATTTACCATCAAAAGCAAACTTTTTTGGAACGCCTATTTAAAAATGGTCTTCAACCCCAGTATGAGAACCACACAGCAGTAAAAATCCCAACTTAATGTCCAAAACCTCATTTAACCTTTCCATCAACCCTACGAGAAAGATTTCCCAATTATCCATTAAGGAAACTGAGGGTCAGGGAGGTTAGGCAAGGTTTCAGAGCTAGGAAATGGTAAAGCCAGGACTTGAACCCTAGTCTTCCAAACCATGCTCCAAGACAGGTTTTATTACTTTGCACTTACAACTATACTGTGAACAGCTATTCTGCTCAAGGCAGATATATACCTATCTAAAAAACCTCTTCTGCTATTTTCACATTTCAAGAGGCTTTGGGATAGAAAATAAAGGCCAAACTTTCAAACTTAAAAAAAAAAATGTTCTCATTAGAAGCAAATAGGCACTTCTTGAATTCCACCTTCCTGTTATGTTCTTAAATGAAATAAGCTCAGAGTCCTGGCTGTAAGCGGATATCTGCTGGGTATATGGGAAACAGGCTTGAGAAAGTTAGCAATGAGCTGATATCAGACCAATTCAAAGAGAGAATTCAAATGACTGAGCTCAGGATCAAACAAATCACTGAAAGCCTTAGTATGAGCTTCTGAACACCCTTCAGTTGCAAATGTTAGCTAACAGGATGTCATGTGCCCCGTATTCAGAGGTGCACAAAACAGACACTTGCTATCACCTCCTGTCCTTAGTAAGGCGCAGTGTATGGACCTAGCAGGTGTAGGTACTTAGTCAGATGTGCCTTGAGCTCTCAAAGAGCTCATAACCTCACTGGAGACGCGCTCAAATACACAAAACAGAAAGAAAAGTTTGCAAAGCACAAGTGCCTGCCATGTTGCTCCAAGGGTCTGGAAGAGCCTTGCAGATGACTTCTAAACTGAGCCTGAGCACCCAAGAGGATTTCCACGTACAAGGGGGAGGAAATAGGTCCAGGGAACACAATGTGCTAGGGCCTTGAGAAGGATGAGTTCAGTGTGTTCTGGGGGAAAGTGACTAATGCAGTGAGGCCAGCAGCAAAGCATGTAGTAGGACACAGTAGGACATGAGGCTGAAAAGGAATGCGACAGCCAGGGCGTGGAGAACCTGTTCACCAAGCTAAAATACTTGGATCCTGAGACCTGTAGGTAGTGCCCTTTGAAAAATGACTCAAGAGAAAGTGAAATGGTAGCGCTATCCTTTTAAGATTGGAATTGCCTTTCCATGGTCAGGGGTCAAGCACAGCAATGGTAGGAATGTCTATAGGACAGCTCCCTCTGAGGGGCCCAACCCACAGAGAAGTCAGAAGAGTAGGTAGCTCTCAGAGTTATCCCAAATCCACAACTCCATGGAGACCCTTTCCTCCAGTCTGGTAGCCTCACCCTGGATAAGACCCAGGAAAGAAACTAAGTATCGCTTTCCAAGCAGGATTTCTGCTCTGCTTCAGGGATTGCCTGCAGTGCCCAACTTGGTGAATCAGAGAAACAGGCTGCACCCAGGCTCTCACCTCTTTCCCATCACTGAAGAAGAGGGGCCAGAGGCCTGTCCAGCACTTACTGTGTGTGCCCAAAGCTCCACAACTCAGAGCTCTCACCCAGGCCTGGCACCATGTGACTGGAACCTTCAACAAGCAATGGGCTTGCCATGATGTCAGCAGTGAAGTCGTACAGAATCCCTTCTCTTAAAGAAGCCTTGGTAGCAGGTCCCCTATGTCAAAGACACAGGCGAGATGGGATTCTCTCCCTTCCTGTCCTTAGGGAGCTTCCAGTCTGGAAGGAGATAAGCTATCAACAGAGTAGGAGATGGCAAGTGTGCCTCAGAAGAAAAACAGGTGACAATACAAATCCTCTTCACAACCCTATGACTTGGTATGATTACTTCCACCCATTTGACAGATGAGGAAACAGGATCAATTAGGTTAACTACCCTGA